CTTATACTCATTCTACAATAATGGTCTTATACAATATTTGTCCTTGTGGGACTGAGTTCACTCAGCATAATGCTCTCCAGTCCCTCCCAAGTTAGGTAATAATTTACAAAATCATTGCTCCTGCATATTGCACAGTATTCCATTGTGTGAGTGTACCATAATTTCTCAATCCACTCGTTTGTGGTTGGACATTTTGGCTGTTTCCATGTTATTGCAATGGTGAATAATGCTGCTATGAACATTGGTGTACAAATCTCCATTTGTGCCTCAGTTTTCATTTTCTCAGGATATATTCCAAGTAGTGGAATAGCTGGGTCGTATGGAATTTCTATGTTCAGCTTTTTGAGGAAGCGCCAAACTGCCTTCCAGAATGGTACACTTTTTGCAAAAAGTTCACCGAGTTTTGGGTACGTTAACCATGTTTGCTAGAGCCCTATCTGCTCCCAAAGGCGAGAATCCGTCTTCTTGATGTCGAGCTTCAATCCATATTGTAGACTACAGTCCTTGACTTTGTGCAGCAAACACTTCAGGTCCTCCTCTTCAGGAGAATAGGAATTCCAGAACACTTGATTGTCCTCATGCGAAACCTATACTAGGACTAGGAAGTAGTCCTCGGAACAAAGCTAGGAAACTGCATGGTTCAAAATTGTGAAAGGAGTGCGTTGTAAACGTGTTCTGTCTCTATGCCTTTTCAATCTATATGCCGAACAAACCATTCGGGAGCGTGGGCTTTATGAGGAAGAATGTGACATCAGGATTGGAGGAAGACTCGTCAAAAACCTGGGATATGCAGATGATACAACCTGTCTCAATTAGCGCTCCTTGTTTGGAAAGAAGGGGGGGGCTGTTTCGCTCCCATTGCCATGGAATAGGTTCAGGGTCATAGCTGAACCTCCGCTGGTTTTCTGAGGCTGTGAATTTCACGGGAGATTGCTAATTTTTGTCCCCGGGAGCTGTTAGTGGATTCAAACTGCCAGAGTTGCAGCCCTTGGACAAGCAGCGCAATTCCTTACATATATTTACCAGAAACACAAGTAACCCTGGTGGCATGTTGGGCGGCTAACATATGGGGTCAGGGGCTCCTCAGGAGAAAGATGGGGCAGCCTGGGAAACTGGATGAAGAGTTGCGTGCGTTGGAAACTACTGCGGTGACCCTGTAGCCCAGCCTCTTCCGTTATTTCAGCTCGAGTCCTCCTTAGGTACAAAAAGCCTTTTGCGGAACTGAAGGTTTCGTGAAATTTGTTGTGTGCCCGGCTTATTTACATAGATACACACAGGCTTTTCTCTCACCAAAGGCTCTCTTGGTGCGGGGAAGGTTTTTGCCGACGTACCCAGAACTGTTCCGAGGTTTCCTTAGATTCGGGCACCTCTGATGCAGGCTGCTCCTTGGAGCCAAGGTAACGGAGGTCTGCCCAGGCTGGCGTGAGCACTCCCTTTTCCCACGGCTCGGGGAGTCTAGTGGCAGCAATGGCTCCTGTCTCCGGTTCACGTACCCCTGACGGAGAGGCCTCGGGCTCCGGTGGCAGGCGTCGCAGTCCGTCGAGGAGCCCCAAGCCCTCCAGATCGGCCCGCTCCCCGAGGAGCCACCACTCTCGTTCGCACTCATGCTCTCGGTCCGGGGACCGGAATGGCCTCAGCCATCATCAGCTCGGGAGCTACAGTCAAAGCTCCCGAAACCAGTCCTACCGTTCCCGCTCGCGCTCGCGCTCTCGAGAGCGGCCTTCTGGGCCCCGGGGCACCACCTTCGCGTCAGCCTCATCGTCCACCTATTACGGCGGCTACTCGCGCCCCTATGGGGGTGACAAACCATGGCCAAACCTCCTGGACAAGGAGAGGGAGGAAAGCCTACGGCAGAAGTGAGTGAGACGCGAGCGCCTCTCTCGGCGCAAACCCACTTGTAGGAACCCGCCTCATCTGTCTTCTCACTTCCAATCATTCGCGCTTCATTCCCACGGCCTGCATTGTGCCCATTTCCCTCCCTTCCAGTCTTCCCCTTCTTCGCCTCGTTTTCTCCTTTCTGTGCTAGCCTGTCCTCCACCCTCCACGCTGCTCCCCATCTTCCTTCCGCCTCCTAGCTTGGAGGTGGCACGGCCAAATGCCGAGCACCTGTCAGAATTGTTGAGCTTTTGTGCGCCTTGTGCTACGATCATTCCTAAGCGTGTTCCTGGAAAAGAGGCGCTCTCTGATTTGCCATGGTGCCTGCGACTTGGTACAGAAGCTTGGTGGCCAGTACGTTATGTGTTGGACTGCAAAACCGAGTCGGTGGTTCAACTATGGGAGAAAGATGGAAAGTCTCCTGTAAAAAGTGATGGCTTCAGAAACCCACGGGGTGGGGGAAGGGGGTAGAGACAAGGAGGCGGGGCTGGTTGCCTTGAGACGGAAGGATGGCTGTGGTTTGGGGTCTTTTATTTGAGTGAGTTGTTGTGTGCTGTCGAGCAGAACCGACGCATAGCCGACTCTCCAGCGGGTTTTCAGAGGCAGTGAATCGCACGTGAGAAAATTGTCCATCCTTCTCCCACAGAGCAGCTGGTGGATTCGAACCGCAGTCCATCTCTATTGCAGCGCAGTTTCTTATATAGATATATATACTGTTAGGAAGTACGACTCATAGCGACCCGATGAACAACAGATTAGAACCCTGTTCTGTCATATACATACGTGTACGTGTGTGTGTGTGTGTGTGTGTGTGTGTGTGTAGTCATTAAGCGCTCAACCATTGATTGCTGTATGAATTATAACACCTCCCACCTGTCTGAGGTGTTGAACATCTCTAATGTGTGTGTGTGTGTGTGTAGTCATTAAGCGCTCAACCATTGATTGCTGTATGAATTATAACACCTCCCACCTGTCTGAGGTGTTGAACATCTCTAACCTGTCCCCCTCAATACTTGTAAGGCTTTTCAGTTTCTCCTTTTAACACATGATTGGATAAATTTGAAATTGCAGCAGTCAGTCAGAATGGAAATTTTTTTGTAGGGAGTTGGGAGCGATTGAGATTAAGGGTTTAGGGTGAAAATTATTGAGAAGAGCCTTTCTCTAAGCAATGACCAGATGTGTATAAGTGAACTGCTAAGCTATAGGTGACAGGAATGTAGTGAGGTTGGGTTCCCTCTACTGAAAGTGTCTATTGGGGAGGGGAAATGTTTTAAAGAGAAATAAAGTAAAAAAGGGGTTTTTTTGGTGTGTTATTAGTATCTAACATTTACTGAGTGAAATTGTGTCAGGCATCATTGTTCTAAGTGCTTTACCTTGTATGTTAAAAGGAGAATTCCTCCCCTTTTTTAAAAGGAGAGATTTTAAGCCTTACAAGCATTGAAGGGCAGATGATAGATATGGAATATCTCAGACAGATGGGAGGTGTTATAATTCTTGTCCTTCTAGCAGTGGGAAATAATAAAGCAGAGTGATGAAGGAGAATGGTGCCAGAATCAGACTGCTTCAGTTTAAAGCCCCCATTTTGCCACGTTGGTGAGCGCCACTTTGGCTGAATCACTTAATCTCTCAACTTTGGATTTCTTTGCCTTTAAAAAGATATATTGCAGTGAGTAAATCTACTGTCAAGGACCTCTCCAAAATGTTATACAGCAATGATGTCAGTTTAAAAACTCAGATGCATCTGATTCAAGCCGTAGACTTGTTATGCATCTGAAAGTTGTACGGTGACTAAGGATGACAGAAGCAGAATCGATGCCTTTGAGTTGTGGTATTGGAGAAGAGTACTGAATATCCCATGGACTGACTTAAGAACAAACAGATGTGTCTTGGGGAAAGTGCAACCAGAGTGTTCCTTGGACGCAGGGATGGTGAAGCTTTATCACTTTGGGCATGTTGTTAGGAAGGGGAAAAAGACATCATACCAGATGGTGGTGGTTTTTGTTGTTGTTGTTGCTAGGTGCCATCAAGTTGAGTACAACTCATAGCAACACTATGAATAATAGGTCTGTACACTATCCTATTCTGTGGAAAGGTGGAGGGTTAGCACCCTCAATGAAATGGATTGAGATAGTGACTGTAACACTGTTGTTGTTGTTGTTGTTGTTGTTGTTGTGTGTAATTGAGTTGGAGCCCAATGCAATGGGTTTTCAGAGGCAATAATCATATGGGAAGAAATTGCCCATTTTACAGTGACCATAAAAATGTTGTGTGCAATTGAGTTGGAACTGACTCATAGCTGACCCTCATCACACCTGTGGAGATTGCCCATTTTATAGGGAATGTACCAATGTTGTTGTTGTGTACTGTTGAGTTGGAACCGACTCATAGATGACTATCTTGTGGTTTTCAGAGGCAATAATTCACATGGGAGGAGATGGCTCATTTTTGTTTCTCAGAAGTATTTTGCTTATTTGGAGTCTCTTGCCTCCAAATAAATTTGATAATTTCCTTTTCAATCTCCTTGAAAAAGGAATTTGGTATCTGGATTGGTATTGCATTGAACATGTAGACTGCTTTTGGTAGGTTTGTCATTTTCACAATATTTAGTCTTAAGATTTAATTTTTCAGAATAGTCCTTGCAGTGTGTTTCATTCAAAATGCAGATGGCTTCTGTTTTCATAATTCTTCCTGCTAAGCTTAATAGCAGACTATTTATAAGAAGTCTCTGGTCAATATAGTCCCAAATGCTGAAGCAGCTGTATAAGTCTGTAATTTATACATTAACAGCTCCATCAGTGGCTGTTCCCCAATTCTTCTATGGCCCCTGGGTTAAGTGATTCGCTAGAAGATCTCCCAGAGACTCAGACCTGTCTGGAAAATTACTCACATGACCATAGGTGTGCAGGCTGGTTTTGGAGAAACTAGTGAGTGAATCTTGTTGGAAAAACAACTGGAAAAAATGGCACAGTTATTGGCAAAGTGATTCAGTAAACAGTGGACAAATCTGGTGTGGTTCTGGTGAGAATTGAAGGAGATAATGAAAATAATAAACTACCTAGAGAAGATGTAAGTATTTTCCCTATTCTCTTTTTCCTATCTGACCTAATAAATTGGTTTGGATTGGATATTGTTTTTAAAATTGTTAAGGATTTTTGCATCTATATTCATGAGAGTTATTGATATGTAGTTTTCTTTCTTGGTAAATCTTTGCCTGGTTTTGGTATTAGTGTTATGCTTGCTTCACAGAATGACTCTGGAAGTATTCCTTCTTTTTCAATTTTTTAAAATATTTTAAGTAGAATGGTTGCTAAATTCTCTCTGAATGTTTGGTAGAATTCAGCTGTGAAGCCATCTGGTCCAGGACTTCTCTTATGGAAAAGTCTTTTTATGACCTTTTCAATTTCTTCTCTTGTGATGTCTGTTCAAGTGTTCTGTATCTGTCCTTGTCAATCTGGGCAGGGGATGCATTTCAAGGAATTTGTCCATTTCCACTAGGTTTTTTTTTTATCAGAATATAGCTTTTTGTAGTATTCTGATATGATTGATTTTGCTTCTTATGGTTCTGTTGTGTCACCTCTGTCATTCTGTCATTTCTTAATTGAGTTATCTGTCTTGTCTTTTTTTTCCTTTTGTTAAATTTGCCTGTGGTTTGTCAATTTTATTGACCCTTTCAAAAAACCAGATCCTGATCTTATTGATGGTTTCAACAGTTTTTCTGTTTTCTATCTCATTGATTTCAGCTCTTGCCCTTATAATTTCTTTTCTTCTAGAGGTTGTATGATTAGATCGTTGATCTTTTTCTATTTACTTAAGGTGTTGAGTTAGATCATTGATTCTTCTTCTTTCTTCCTTTTTTATGTGTGTGCCTATTGGTATGAACTGCCCCCCTGTGGACTGACTTAGCTGTGTCCCAGAGGTTTTGGTAAGTTGTATTTTCATTATCATTTGTTTTAAGGAACTTTTTTACTTTATTTTTTTATAACCCAATCATGTTCTAGCAGAGAGTTATTTAGTTTCCGGATGGGTGGTTTTGTAAGCTTTACTCTTCTGTGGTTAATTTCTAGTTTTATGGCATTGTGGTCTAAGAAAATATTTTTTATTATTTCGGTGCTTTTTAATTTATTGAGGCTTGATTTGTGACCTAATATATGATCAATTCTGTTGAATGTACCATGTGTACTTGAGAAGAAAGTGAACTGAGTTTTAGTTGGGTGCAGTACTCTGAATACATCCAAAAGTTCAAGTTGGCTGATTGTATAGTTTAGATCTTCTGCAACTTTGGTGAATTTCTTTTGAGTTGACTTATCCTTTGGTGATAGTAGTGTGTTGAAATCTACTACTATTGTGGTGCTGTCTATTTATCTCTTTAATTAGGTTAACTGTTATTTTACTTATTTCCAGGTCTATCATTTGGTACATAAATGTTGGCCAGGGTTATGTCTGTTGATCTATTGTGCCTTTAATCAGTATGTAATGCCCTTCCTTATCGTCAATAGAGGTTTTATGCTGAAATCTATTTTACCAGAGATTAGTATTGCCACTCCTGCTTTTTTGAGGTTGCCATTTCCTTGGTATATTTTTCCCCCAGCCTTTGATTTTGAGTCTGTCTTTCTCTTCCTTTTTTTAGATATGTCTCCTGTAGGCAACATATTGATGGACTTTGCTTTTTTTATCCATTCTGCTACTCTTTTTCTCTTAATTGGTGTATTTAGTCCATTCACTTTAAGTGTAATTATTGTCAGGCCAAGTTTTACTTTTGCCATGTTTCTTTTTCTGTTGTTTCTTATTGCTGTGGTCCACTCACTTTCCTTTGGTGTCTCTGTGTGTAGGACTTCACTTAAAATTTCTTGTAGTTTTGGTCTTGTTTTCACAAATTCCCTAAGGTCCTCCTTTTCTGCAAAGAATCTAATTTCCTCTTCAAATTTGATAGAGAGCTTTGCTGGATATAGGATCCTTGGCTGGCAATTTCTTTCAATTTTCT